CCGGCTTTTGTTGAAAAGCTAAAGTTGCGTTTTATGAATTTCTGAGGGTTAAATTTGAGACTCTTTCAAGAAGTTACCGTGGCAGGTCACCTGTGTAACTAACGCCTCTGGGTGGGTTAGGGCTATTTACGGTCTTGCAGTTTATAGCGCTGGTGAGTTTATCTGTAAAGGAGGCTTCAGTCTGAGTTTGAAAAGGCAGCAGGTTGGTTTTGGTGTTAGTTTGTTGGTTTTTTTCCCTCCCCCCCTTCTAAAACCAGAGATAATCACGAAGGAGTTTATGGTGGCATATTTATTGAACTGCTGGGGACTGGCATCTCGTGAATAGCTCATAAAGTTGTATTACTCTCTGTACGTTAGTGCTCTAATACAAACTCCTAAATGCCTTTTCCTCGGTTTGTATTGTGCTTTCATTAACACTAGGACTACATTCTACTATACAGCTTTTCACGTGAAAAATAACCCTGTTAATTGGCCGGAGATTAAAAGGTAACTCATTAATACGAAATAATGTGACAATTTAATAATTTCCCTGTAATCCCCAACGCCCAAATTAAAGGGACAGACACAGCCACGTTCACGATGATTAGTTTTATTGCTTGAGAACCAGAGTACTCATCTCTAAAGGCCTTCAAAGTTATCATGAGTTGAGTTCGCTTAAATAGAATTACTGTGTGGTTATAATGCAACATGGCACAATAACAATACAGAGCTGCAGACACCCTTTGGGCAACAGTACTTAACATAAACCCAGATTGTACTGTTGAGAAAACACTCTGCAAGCGGACATCAAATCATTTTCAATGGTAGTGATTTATACCAAAATCAAGCATCAATCTAATGCCATCACGCAGTCCATGAACTCTGTAGTGTTCTAAATTAAATCAATAAAACATACATTTGTGTTTCATCAACAGACTCCCTAATCACCTTTTAATGTCGTATTTAGTGGTGGGAGAAAAATGTTTGTAACAAGATTATATTGTAGGCTGCACTGAGCTACCAGCCAGGAAAATTTACAGTCTTTTTTTTTTTTTTCTCTTTAACACTGTATAAATACAGTTTGTGTCCAATACAGTTGCTGCCTGAAGCAGACTATTATTTTCTTCTCCCATGTTGTTATTGTTTCAATATAGAATACTTGGCACCATAAAACAGTAACAAAAGACGGACAAAAACAGTTTACAAAATTCTGGAAAGTTACACCCAAACCTAGCTAGGAACTTCGCATTCAATCCTTAATACTACATAGAAAGAAGGGACTACAGGAGTAACAAAGTGAAACTGCTAATATATGTGCTATATAGTATGCTTATATATCTGTATCCAGGATGGCACTGCTATATATTAATTATTATATAAATGTTGGTTGTTGATGTACACTTAACTAAACCTGCTAAGACTCCAACACTAACCGCTGATATGGCACTCTCAAGCATTCATATTGGAAAGTATATTTAGCGTAAGTTTTGGTCAGGTTTATAAATTATTTATATATCTGTGTATATATACACATACATACATATATATACACACACATATATATGTATAGAAAGCAGCTGCTGTGTGATTCAAAAACCATGTAACATGGCAGTATAGTAAATAACATGAGAAAAAAATTATAAAAATGAAAAACAAAATACTAAAACTAAAACACAAACCATAAGCCTTGGTCAACAAAGAAAACACCATTTAAAACCATCAATATCTCTATCTGTACAATCCAATGTACAAAACCCCGAAGTGGTAAAGATATATAATGTTAGGCATGACACCTTTAAAAGTTTATAATACGCTGAAATAGCTTTTCCACATTGACAAACACTTATTAAAAGTTGAAAGTTGTGAAATCTAAAATACATAACATCTCTGCTGTCTATTTAGAGTTTTGGCAACAGAATTGTGACATATATATAAAAAATAATTCCACGTTTCTACTTGATGTCACATGAACATACAAGACAGTGAGGTATGTGAGGCTTTTCTCGAACAGAGTCCAGATGCTGAAGCATAGTGTACGATCAGCAGTCTAAAAATGTGGCACTCGGGACTGGATTTATCAATGCAGTTGTTACGATTATGTATTTCAGTATACCGTGTATTCCTTCCCCTCCTTGCTACAGTGTGGTTTCACGGAAAATCTTCTCATGTCGTAGGCATCTTTTTCCTGTTGCAGAATTGGCATTTTTTTAAAAAGAAAAATAAACACAGGGGAAATGATGTAGAAAATATAAACGTAAAGGAAAAAAAATGATATTTACCACCACATCACTGCACGACACAACACTTGTGCACATTTGCAATAGGTTTACCTGCCCCAGCAGCTATTCGAAAGGACAGGAACACAGGCTGCAGCAAGTTAGGGAAAAATAAAAGTTACACATTTGAAATATAAACTTTTTTTTTTTTTTACAGTCAGTAGTAAACACAACTAAAATTCCTCTATGACTGGAAACAAAACGACGCAGTAATTTTTTGGATTGCTCTAACTACAAAATAGGCAAGAGAACTACATCATCTCCTTACAGATCTCTGCTCCCATTGAAATCCAAGGGAAAATTTGCCACTGATTTCTGTGGGAAGAGGACTGGGTCCCATACACAACTCCCTTTTATCACAGAATTAGCTCTGCTGAAAGTGCCACGCTAAAAAAATTCACGTTGAGTACACTGGTGACAAAGGAAACAAAAATTACTGTTTCTGAACTGGCTGTCCTCCATCTGCTGACACACTGAACTTTTCATTTCACTGGAGAAGTCGGTAAACTTCCGCAGTTTAAAATCTGGCTTGGATGATTCTGGACCAAATATCTTAAGTGCATTCTTCCTTAGAAAAACAATACTCAGTCTCACAAGAACTCTGCCCATGAAAGTAAATATAGGTACACATTTGTGAATTTGGATTTACGTGTATACATGCATACACACATGTAATTACCCATTATCCATCACCCATAGCACTGTCTCTAGGACTGATACATTACCATTGTTGTACAGTTTACAAGTTTTTGCAAGTTTCTAGTTGAGTTTTTTCCTACAGATTTTATGTAGTTTTTATATAGGCTTTCAGAGGTTACCTCCTACTCCTTGATCAGCTTTTTTCAAAGAAAGCACACACTCAGTTTCACTGTATTTCTAACTTTGCTTTCCGTCTGGTATCTTCAGCAGAGAAGATTGTTTGTAAAATACATCTCTCTTTCTTCACTTTAACAACTGGTATTTAGTAGTTCCATATCCTTTTTCTCACTTGTTGCTTAAATATGGAACTGCCAATATATTATTTTACTAATTAGCAGCTAGGCATCAACTTAATTGAAGCTGTGTTTTGGAAGCAATTTTGACAACCCAATGAAGATACTTTTGTGTTACAAGAGTAGTTGTAAGTGCACAGACAGTTGCTTCTCTTCATTTTGTATTGTATCATGCTTTCATCCAGTTTGTTCCTTGACTTCCTACAAGTACCTATTCTAATATACTGGCTGATTTCAGTTGAATTCAACTTTAAAACATTTTCAAGGCTTTACATTAAAAATAGGACAGAGATACAGTTGACTTAAACATAAAATTAACAGGAACTAGTGCATACATTCTCCTTCCTAATAAAAAAGACTTAGAAGATGCAATACTAAAAGGTTTAATTTAGTTACCTTGTGATCCCCCATGCAGACATTCGGCCCAATGTGGTCATATATTACTATCTTCTCGTCATTTTCTGACTAGTTAAAAAAAAACAAAACACACAAGAAAACACGAGTCAGTTCAAGTATTCTCCAGATTACAGAAACAGAAAGAAATATGGAAATAATTTATGCAAATAGTTCAAACCAGTCTCTGAATGAACTGATATTAACACGTCTTTCCTTGGCTTCTCCAGAGAAAGACCATGGAGAGTGAATTTTTATGTCCAGAACTGCTTGCAGTAGTTTGTGCAATTTGCCCACGTAAAATAACTCATGAAATCACTGCATCCACTCCTTGCTTCTGAGATCTCAAGAAATTTTAGTGAGTAACACTTGGACAGATGAAATGAATGATTTGGTTATGATTGCATTCCAGCCTTTTGCCAGTGAAATGCAGCTAGCACATTTGGCCAGTCCTTTTTTGAGAACAACACACAATTTTTATTGAATTAAGTGCAATATATGTTGTTCTTCAATTTAATTGCAATCCACGTTGCCTTATAAGAGCATCTGATCTCATCACATTCAAATATATATTTATTTATATACATCTGATTTCATCACATTTTAAGTGTTCAGAGAGATGAATGAATTATTTACAGTTTATGAGTATAATCTTTAACCATTTCTATGAGATACATTTCTTCATCTGAAAAAACGCACCAAGTGATTTAAAGAAAATCAGTAAATGAAAGATGATGTTCCTCCAGTCTCCATTATGAATTGCTTTCATTTTGTTCCATGTTGAACTTTATCCTTATACACTGACTTCTTAACATTTGGAGCTTAATGAATAGTAAAATGTACTCATCTTTCTGCCATTTGCAATAAACCTGATTTTGAGAATCTGTTTTGATTCTCTAGCACAGTACTTCAGGAATAAATACAAATACACTGCCATACGAGACAATTTCTTATTATGCTAAAGAATTCCTGCAAGCTAATTACATCTGCAATCTGCACACTCTCAAGTTTCTAACACGATCATAGATGTGCTTTAAACTAGTTGGCAATACTAATTTATATTGTATGAAACAGTCAAGACTTTCTCATGTGCAATCAGTCAAGTTTGACTGGGCAATAACTTTATATAAACAGTAGCATTTAGGACTATAAAGTTAAAACTGAATTATCTTTAATGCAGTAAGGAAGCTTAAGGTCAGATTTACTTTATAGCACGGTTGTCTGCCAAAAATATAAAAACATAACCTTCTGCATCGTATGCATGAGCACTTTCCAATATTTCAAGATCATAATGCCACTAGCATCGGAAGTGGGGATACATTCATCAAAAGCGACTTGATAATTTACAAAGGCAGCATAAAATTGTGGATTTTCAACTGCATAATCTTTAGACAGATAAACAAATTACAGTGGTGCACAAGCAGAAACAATATACACTTGGCTGAGCATTCATTACTTCATGCTATCAGGCATCAACGCAACTCCCTCGCAGTGGGCAACCTTTGGTGTTTTAGGGCTCAGGAAGCATAAAATAACATGATGGTGAGGTAACCGACCATAGCATGATAGATGATGTTGCATGAAAGCTGTTTACAGCCCCATGTCTGTACAATCTGCAATGCCTACTGTGTAGCTGAACACACTGTACAGTGTGGCAATTTGTGCTTACTGTCCTTTCTTTACATAGGATTAAAATGCAGATTTACTACAATTTTTTGTTTGAAATAAAATACAGACTTGCTAAGACAGAAAAATAAAATCTTTATTTGCCTATAAGAAAAACTAATACAGCAAAATAATTGCCTGCATAAGAATATTCAATAGCTGGTTCCAACCAAAAATTCTTTAAAAATTCATATACATTTCTATTTTAAGAATTTGTTACAGTGTAATCAGTTAATTAAAATTTACTTTTACTTCCTTTACAGTTCCTTTTAGAGCTTCAAAGCGTAACCCTCTGCAACGGAATAAATTCTCGGTGGCAAGCCAAACACTGCTTACTGTGTAGAACCACAAAAATTTGTAAGGTCATTTTGCCCTTTCCTCTATCAGTTCAGCATTCTTTTCTATTGAATATTTTCGTTAAGTTTTATGGGCCAGAATTACAGTTTGGTTTTGAGATGGATAAACTAGCTCCTTTACTGGTATAGACTCACTGAGTTAAACAACCATGCCACTTTGGCCTCATCTACATCTGTAATTCCGCATACGCATTTCTGAAGATGTCCCAAACGGCATGCTCATAATTTGCAAATGCAAAGCTGCAGAGACAAAATTATATGCATTTTCTAAATGCTTTGAATGATCCAACTAACTGTGTTTCTGTTCCCCGGAGACTAAGAATTGGGCTAAGTGACCTCACAGTTACAAATTTCTTTAATGCTCTAACTTGGTTTTTCTTTGTTTAATTTTCTCCCATTATATCCAAGTTATACCCCCCTAGATAATCTGAAAGAATTCCTTTCCCTCTGTACTGTTTACACTCTTCAAGCCTTTGTGTACACTTCTATCTCCTTATTCACAGCTTAAAAAAAAAAAATCTTCCCTCATTGGCAACTCTTTCACTTGTT